ACTTCAATTGGTATACCATCTATTCCTGGGGCTTTATTTTTTGCTATTTCCTTCAAAGCAGCTTGAACTTCTTCCTTCATCACCATAGGCTCTTGTTCATATGTTAGTTCTTTAAATTCCTCTGTATCTGCCAATTCCTCATTCATTAATGAACCTTAGGTATCCTAAATGAGTGCTACTTCTATATTATCCTTTTCTGGATTTTTATTTTGGCAGAGAACATATTAAGCAGGAAACACCCAATAGCAACTATCAGGAAGTAGCAAATGATAAACTGGATAATCAAAGTCTTAAGAAAATACTGATATTAATTAGTTTGTCATCTTGACTCTTAGAGAAGACATGGGATCTTTGTGCTCTAAATTTTTTCTTTCTTTTTCAAGAAAACAGTTTGATGTTAATAGGGCTTAGAAGTTGGTCTGTTTCTGAAATAGCTAAAGTAAGCCTGGGGACTTCAGCTGACATAAGACCATAGATAAGAATCTGTCCCAGTCAAAAAAAAAAGAGCCTTCAGTACCTCCCACAACCATTTTTCAGCACTGAGACTCTGGTCTCAGGTCTAAGGGAAAGTGACTTCAATGTTATTAGTATGTGTGAATGTCAGGCAGGAGCAGCATTCCGAATTCTTTCCAAGTACCATTCCTTTGAGGGTACACTGTTAACAGACATACCACAGCCTGGGCTACTAAGATTTTCAAGACCTGGGAGCTAAAAGAAGGGACAGGAAATGGAAAGACTGAAGAATGGCACCAAGAGGAGGAGGGATTGAAGACTCTGGACTGAGTGTTGGGTTTTTGCCAGCCCGTTTGCTCATCTTTGTAAAAAATATCTTTTCATTTTCTTTTGGTTCAACAAGGAGGTGCATTTTTTCCTAAAGACAATAAGAAATGCTTTTATCACTCAAAGCTTGTTTTTGTGCTGTGTTACTATGCTGCTCTTCTCTTTTCATTTTTTTTCTTTTCATCTGTTTTGTTTTAAACTTTTAAAGTGTCAGCTTCAGCTTCACATCACATTTCTGATGAAATACACATTTTTATCTGTGAAATGTTTTCCTCAAATCACTTTTTAAAAAAAATAAAATTTTCTTTTAATTGTGATTTTAACAAACATTTATAAAGGCTCAAATCGCTTTTATTGAATCTTATCATTTCATAAACAAGAGTTTGAAGCAGCAGGATGTTAAATGATGAGGTAAAGATTTTTATTCTTTTTAAAAATTCATTTAAAAGTTATTATTTATTGTATTTTTTTCTTTTCTTTCCCAATTCAGAGTAAAATTAATGCATTGTTTTTAGTGGCTTTTCACTTTTCTTGCTGTTGGTCACATTGCTGCACATCTGTATATCTGAGTAAAGGCCCTGCGAATGGAGGCTCTCTTCAACATTTAAGAATTAACGCCAGTTTTTTTCTCTTATGCTTTCTTTAGATTTAGACACAGCCCCAACTGCTGGTACCTGAGAGACTGGACTATTCACACTTGGATTAGGCAATGTCTAAAATATGGTGCACAAGACAAAGCCTTATATACCCTCATCAATAAGGTAAATGGTTTCCTGGCACCTAGTGTTGTTTTTCCTGGGTTTAGATAGTATATTTGTACTTGTGACCATGCAGCATTGTTCAAGAAGTTATTTTTTAAATCATTTACTCTCATATCCTTTTTAGGGTTTTAAATACCCTATTCAAAGAGACACTGGATATTTATAAATTAAAAAGAAAAATGTGTTTGACTGCTTCTTTTTAGTGACCCAGAAATGGAGAGTTGTGTTGGTTATTTAGTGCTATTATAACAGATGGTGGAGCACATTGCAGCAGTCACTGTGTCAGTCCACCTGGTTGAGGGTCTTCCACTCTTACACTCATCCCACACCTTTCCAAGCATGATGTCCCTCTCCAAGAAATGGTCTCTCCTAACAACATGCCTGAAGAATGCAAGACAAAACTTCAACATATGTGCCTCAAAGTAGTACTCTGGTTGCACTTTCTCCAAGACATAATTGTTTTTTATGCAATCCATGGGATATTCAGTACTGTTCTCCAACACCACACTTCAGAAGCATCCATTTTTCTTGTTATCCTTATTCATTGTCCAGCTCTCAGATGCATAGCAAGTGATCTCAAAGACCATGGTCTGGCATAAATCAGATGCACCTTAGTCCTCTAACTGACATCATTGCTTTTCAATATTTTGGAGAGTTCCCTGACCGCAGACTTTCCCAGTGCAATAGGTCTCCTGATTTCCTGACTGCTGGTACCAAAGGTACCAACTAAGGAAGCTCACACATTAGGAAGCTTGAAGTTTGTCTGAATTCTGGATACTGACTCTTGTTGTTAGGTGCTGTCAAGTTGATTACAACTCATGGTGACCCTATGAATGATAGATCTGAACCTCCTCCTAGCCTGTGATATCCTCATTATCTTTGACACACTCAGGTCTGTTGATGCACTCACTGTGTCCACCTGGTTGTGTATCTTCCTCTCTTTCACCATCCCTCCACCTTCTCTAGCATGATGTCCTTCTCCAAGGCAACATGGACAAAGTATATGAGATGAAGCTTTATCATTTTTGCCTTCAAGGAATACTTTGGTTGTATCTTCTCTAAGGCATATCTGTTTATTCTTTTGGCAATAAACAGAATATTCAGTACTTCTACAACACCACAGTTGAAAGACATCATTTCTTCTGTCATCCTTACTTAATGTTCGGCTCTAGGGGAATGTTTTTGTTTTGTTTTGTTTTGTTTTGTTTTGTTTTTAAATATTTATGCGTTTGTAGTTGTGGGTTTATTTTAATTTATTTTTCTTTTGTTGTTGTTTTGTGCTGTCAAATTGGATCTGACTGGCACAGGAGGAGATTGCCCCCCCTTCTCCACCAGAGCATCAGGTGGATTCCTTTGGGATTGCAGCTCAGCTTCTTGCCACTAGGCCACCAGAGCTCCCTTTCTAGGTGAAGGGTTTTTTCCTGACCACTACCTGTGGAGTGTCTACTCTTGGGCAGTCTTCATGTGGCATGGCATCTCTCTTCTTCCAACTCTCCTTCTTCACTTTATTGTTTGAATCTCTCTTCTAGCTCAAAAGAGACTGATTTAAGACTGTTCTTTTCTGTCTTACTAGCATAAAAAGGCAGTCTATTTGTTAATGGATTAATAACTACAAATGTAGAGGTTAGGATATGCAATGCATATTTTAGGGACAAACAGTTCAACTCATAACAGTAGACAAAAGCAAAAGGTAATCTACTTAGAGGAACTGTATACTGATGATCATTTCATCATTAAGCGTTGGATTTATTGGTTCCCTTTGGGGATGATTATTTGAAAAAAAAGAGACATAACCATGTTTATTGGCATGTAAATTCCAGAGGGTACAGACTATTTTACATAATTTTTAAAAAGTCAGTGTTCCAAGACAGTTTATAATATATCTCATTAGTTCTCTTAAAGCCCAAGAACCCTTATTAATAGGATACTTGTGAACATTATACTCTATCCAAGGATAGAGGATTCATTATCTGCATGTTATAAAATAAACAAAAGCTTAAGATATTGTTATTGCAGGTTTTAGGACACCACACTAATTCAAGTCATAGGATTTTAACAGCATCTTTTATGAAAATGTTTTTAAAAGGTTGCAATCATATTAGTTGCCTAAAAGTAGTCCTCCTCCAAAACATCTGGGCCACTAAGTTACAGCTGGCTTGATGGCAACTCAAAACAAAACAAAAGATATATTAAGGGAAAGGCTAGAAAGAACTTGGGGTTCAAATCTACCAGGTGCTCCATAGGAGGATGGGCAGTCTCTTCCTGTGTACTTTACTGCCTCTGAAAACCCATTGGTTCTGACTCAGTGGCACATAACAGAAAGAACGAGCTCCCTTGATGAGAACTGTTTACATGACAACTCTGAATCTCAAGATATAAAAATATAAGGACACAGGATTGAGAATCTTGGACTAGCTAATTTCTAATGACATAGCATTTGCCAGCCCTAATAGCATAGCATTTTACCATAGTTTCATTTCCCCTTGCCCATAGAGATTAATTATGGTTTGGATGGTTTGAGAACTAGAGATATAATTTATGATCTGTTGTTGTTGTTGTTGTTGTTGTTATGTGTTGTGGAGTCACTTGTGACTCATAGCAACCCTATGTACAATAGCCCTGAAACCTGCTCTATCCTGTGCCAACCTTATTGTCTCTGACACACCTACCCTCATTACTTCAGTCACTGAATCAATGCACCTCATCAAGGGTCTTCCTCTCTTGTGCTGTCCCTCTACCATTCCAAGCATGATGCCCCTCTCCAACGACTGGGCCCTCCTTGCAAAATGTCCAAAGTATTTCAGACGGAGCCTCAGAATCCTTGCCTCTAAGGAGCAGCCTCGTTTAACCCTCTCCGGCATGAGCCTGTTTGTTCTCCTGGCAGTCCATACTACAACCCTTAAAATAATGACTTTTTAACTTTTTTTTTTCTTTGTCACTTCTGCATTCCTGAAGGATTCCATGCATGTCTATTAGTAGCATAATAACTCCATTCAACAATGGCTCAACTCTGAGAATTAGGATTATGCCAGGCTCCCTCAAGGGCATGGGTACAGTTTGAAAAAATCCTCCCTGTGTTTCTGGTGAAGAATGAGGCAGCATGGCAGATGGTGGGTGAATCCACTGTAATAAGAATTCAAAGCAAAAATGCAAACTTATCTAGAATCTTGGTGGTCAAACTTAAATAAACATGAAAATCTCAGGAGATACTCTCTAAACCTACAAGCTTCTGGGCCCTGCTCCCAGAGATTCTCATCCTGTCAGCATATTATTCCAAATAGTCCTAAGACATTCTGAAGTAGGTGTCAAAGGATCCATGTTCAAGAAAGTTAGGTTTTCAGATATTCAATGGCTTCAGAATACAGCAACCCAAAAACTTGATTAGTAGGAAATACCATTTCTTGAGTCTTTAAAAAGCAGTGCAAGGACCAAAAAATGTTTCATAAAATTCATTTTCACCCTGATACTTGTAGCTTATAAAAGGAATCTCTGAACCAGTACTTTCTCGTTTTTTAGATGGAATGATGAGGTGTTAGAATTGAGCTTTATTTTTCACTTATCAATTGTCTTAAATGTCAGGCGCCCACTCACAGCTTTCTCACCCTGACCAGCAGTTCCTGTTACCAAACCTCATGAGTCACAGCTTCTGTTTCACTGTCACAGATCCTGGAAAACGATAGCCAAGGATTAGGAAGCTAATGGTGGCAAGTTTTCAAGACTGAACTAAAGTGGAGATTTTTCTTTTTTTTTTTTTTTTTTTAACCTCTCTACCTTCATTTCCATTACAGGTTCAATATGGAATCCTTCCGGATAACTTTACATTCAATATATTAATGGATCATTTCATAAAGAAAGATAATTACAAAGGTAAGAAACCAAACCCAGGTCCAGTGATTGTGGGGTTTCCATTTCCCCAGAAGTGTGTACATAAAGGCACTTTTCCTCCTTTTATGTCTTGTTCCCATTTCTTTGAATTACTGTTTTCAGAAATAGATACACAAAACAAAAAGAAAGAGATGCATAGTTGATACCAGTTGGCAAGATAGGAGACTTAAACCCAGTTGTTATTTATTCCTCTGAATTTGCTCCACTTCATCTGTACTATCTGAATTTTGCTAAGCATTGTACCCTGCCTGGGCTCCCATTGCTCCTAAAGATTATAGTAATGATATTATTTACCTTGACTTTCTTTGATAGTGCCATTTGCTCTCAAACACATTTTGTTTTGTTACCACAGCTGTCATAGTATAAACAGTGCTAAAGTGTGCGATGGGTTGGCTTATCCTAGAGAGAGCTAGTGAACTGTGGACGTAAGCCCTTCACCTCCCTGGGCTTTAGTGTGCATGTCTATAGAGAAGTGGATAGGTGAGCTCTGAGTTCTCTTAGCTTCCCAAATTCCCTGAGCCATGACATTAAAGTGACTCCTAGCTTCCAGTCGTAGTAGAGAGGGTCAAGGAAAGGTGAAGGTTGTAAAAAGCTTTACACATTAGTATTAAAGCACCTGATTGAGTCCATTAGAGTAGGGAGCTCTCCTCATCAACAATGCAAAATCACATCCCATGAGGTCAGATGTGTCTCCACACACACACACACACACACACACACACACACAGTCCCACACCTCTTTCTATTCATCTCAACACTGATTACTGCTTTATTGGATCCAATATACAATGCAGTACAGTGCAGTAGCTCACAGACCACACAGAACCATATTAGGGAATTCAAAAGATTATAATCCAGGTTAGCAGAATACAGTCAGAACAGCTTCTGAAATGTGCTCACAGATGTCTCAGTTCTGCCAATTACGGCTCTTCCCCTTCCCCCACCCCCACCCCCGCCCACATCTCCTGTCCTCCAGTAAACAAAGGGCAAAGGTTCTTGGTTCTGTGTCCCTCGGGATAACAGTCCCGAAGTCAGCATCAGCTCTATATCATGTTGGATCTTCTACCTTGGCTGCTGCTGCTGCTGTAAATCTAGTAGGTTCTCCTGCTAAATCACATCTGACACAAGAATCTCTGTTCCTGAAGGGTGCCCACTGCATACCTGCTCTCCTTTGCTGGTGTGAGATACTCCAATTCTACTGCTGCTGGATCCACTAAATTTAATGGGGAGACTAGCCATTCCCCTTGAGGGTTGGCGAGACTAGCCAATCCCCTTGTGGATAGGCTAGCATATCCTATTCGCATATTCCTGCCCATCTGCTTTGCAATGTAAGTTGATGGGTAGGGAGGCCATAGTAAGCCCTTACCACCACAAAAGCTAAAGGCTGGAAAGGCCCTTGTATGTAAAAAAAAAAAACCAACACAAACTAGAACAGGGCTTATGTTTTACTTATTAATTCTGAATATTTACCCCTATGCCCAGCTTTGAAAAAATAATTATCATTTAGATTTTAACTATATTTCTCATTAAGCACTCATATTGATGGTGTTAATTACAACTAATTTCATCCAGCTTTTGTTTTTATCTTCTTACCAGATGCTTTATCAGTGGTTTTTGAGATCATGATGCAAGAAGCTTTTGATGTGCCTTCTACCCAGCTTCTCTCCCTCTATGTTTTGTACCATAGCCTGGCAAAGAAGACAGACTTCACAGTAAGTGATCTACCTTAAGGCATTACTGAGAGCCTTAGAAAACGCCAGAGATGAGTCTCAGAGTTCTAAGGGGGGCAGAGGAAATGCCTGCACCCAGAATCTGGAGAAGGGCATCAGTGTTGCAGCCCTGTAGCCCCGTATAACTAGGAATGAATGAACACGCTGTATCTGTATATTTAGTTACAAGTTCCCAACAAAATTAAATTAGCTGTTTCTCCACTGAAGGCCATCCAAGTGAAAGCCTTTCTGCACGTTTTTGAATTATGAGCTAGGCTGAGTACAAGCCTCAGACTTTTGGAAATGGATGATGAATAATCAAGAGGAGTGGACGTGACATAGCAAAGAAACAATGAGGCAGCTGACTACAACGTCAGCTCTTAAACACTGATTTCTTTAATTTAACTCTTTTTATACAGATATTCTGACTCTGGTGTTTTGAAAGTTTTGCTGAACTAAGTCTTGTTTTCATCTGTTAATTTAGATTACTTAGTCTTCTTTTATAACTATTCTAAACATAACAGCAATAACAATAGTAACTAATATTTAAATAGTACTCAGGCATTGCACTGCTAAACCCAAAGATCATACCTCTGTACCAGCTACTCTGCAAGAGAAAGACAGGCAATCTCCTTTGCAGTTCACAGCCTCGGAAATCCAGAGAAGGGCCAGCTGGAAGTCAGTTTCTCCTCCACAACTATGAGTTTGAATTTACCTTATACCAGATTGCATTGTTTGTGCTCTAAGTTTATTTGTGCATTTAATCTTCACAACAACTCTGTTCAGATTAGAAGACTGAGGCACAATGATAGGAAACACCGACTGAGTAAGTGATGACCACATGGTGAAGTCATATCAGTCTATGACCATAGCTTCAAACATAACACCAAAACATGTACGTTTTCATAGGATTCGAAAAAGTCATCAAGTCTAACCCACATTCTAAAGAATACTTGTTTGGTTTTTCCTTTCTAAGAGGAGTACAACAGCCTATGATGTAGCTCACATTCATTAATTCAGTTAAGCATTTAAGAAACACCTACCACATTCCATACAGGAAGTAAGAGTGGCCATCCCCTCTTTTCAGAGTGGCCTCTGAAAACCCTATGAGCAGTAGAGGAACATGGATAATTATATAGTGTTAGAGATAGAGCCCAAATTGGAAGTCAGTCAAAATGAGAAGAAATAGCTGCAAACATCCTTTAGTAGTTGGAATATGGAATGTACAGATTATGAAGTTTGGAAAACTAGAGATTGTGGAAAATTAAATGGATCACCGGAGCATCAACATTTTAGGCATCAGCGAGATGAGATGGACAGGCTTTGGCAGCTGTGAATCAGCCAATCACATGGTATAGATATACTCTCCTGGAATGAAAAACAGAAGAAGGATTGTGTTCCAGTCATAGTTTAAAAGACAATTTGAAGTTCTATCCTGAAGGACAATGTTGTGAGTGATAGAATATTATCCATACACATACAGGGAAGATCTGTTAATATGATGATTATTCAAATATAAGCATTAACAGCTAAAGCCAAAGAGAGGAAATTGAGGATTTCGACCAAATTTTGTAGTCTGAAATTAACTAAGCATGTAATCAAGATGTGTCAATGATAATTGGTGATTGGAATATTTAAGTTTGAAACCATGAAGAAGGAATATTTGTTCTTCTTCTTGTTGTTGGGTGCCACGTCAAGGGCAACCCTTTGAACAGCAGGTCTGAATCCTGTTCTGTCCTGTGCCACACTCACTTCCTGGCAGACTAAAGCCCTTGCAGCAGTCACTGTTTGTCATCAACTGGGTGAGGGTCTTCTTCTCTTTCGCCCACCCCTCTGCCTTGCCAAGCATCATATCCTTCCAAGGTCTAGCCCCTTCTAGCAACATGCCAAAGTATGTGAGGTGAAGCTTTATCGTCTTTCCCTCCAAGGAGCTCCCTGGCTGCACGTTTACCAAGATATATTTGTTTGTTCATTTGGCAATCCATAGGAAGTTATTTGTTGTTGTTGTTGTTATGTGCCATCAGGTCACCTGTGACCCATAGTGACCCATAGTGATATACAGCAGCTCTGAAGCCTGCCCTGTCCTGAACCAATCTCACTGATTCTGACAAACCAACCCCCATTGCCCCAGATACTGTATCAGTCCATTTCATCTGGAGTCTTCCTCTCCTGTGCTGTCCCTCCACACTTACAAGCCTGAAGTCCTTCACCAGTCCCTCCTTGCCACATGCCCAAAGTATGTGAGACAGAGCTTCAAAATCCTAGCCTCCAAGGAGAAACTTGGTTTAACCCTCTCCAAACAGACCTATTTGTTTTCTTGGTGGTCCATGGTATGGTCAAGACTCTTCTCCAGCACCACATCTCAAAGAAATTAATTCTTCTTCTGTCATTCTTAGTCATTGTCCAGCTCTCTGATGCATAGCAAGGAACTGTGAAGACCATGGCCTAGATTAGGCACACCTTAGTCTCTAGACTGACATTGTTACATTTCAGTACTCTGGAGACATCCCTAATAGCAGATTTTCCCAATGCAATTAGTCTTTTGATTTCCTGAGTACAAACAAACAAAAGTATTGTTTGTGGAGCCAAGCAAATTGTAATTGTTAACAACCTCAATCTCTTCTTCATCTGTCGTGGTGCTGCCAATTGATCCAGTGGTGGAAATCGTTGTGTTCTTGATATTGATCATCAATCTTTATTGAAGACTACAGTCCTTGACCTTCTACAGAAGTTTAGTACTCTTCACCAACATCACAGCTCATAGGCATCATCAATTCTATTTCTGTCATCTTTATTCTTTGTCCAGCTCACAGATACACAGCAAATTATCTGGAAAAGCATGGCCTGAATCCGATGCATCTTAGTCCACAAACTCATATCCGTACTTCTCAATAATTTTGGAGAGGTCCCTGACTACAGACTTTCACAGTGCATTACCTCTCCTGATTTCCTAACTGCTCGTACCAAGGGTGTTGATTATGGATCCAAGTAAGATGAAGTTGTTGATAGTTTCGGTCTTTTCACCATCATAATTTTGCCTATAGGTCCAGTGGTAAAAAAAATTGTTTTCTTGATGTTAGGATGTAATCCATATTGAAGGCTTTATTCTTTGATCTTCTGCAACAAGGACTTCAAGTCCTTTTTATTTTCAACTAACAATATTGTGTCATCTACAAAACACAAATTATTGATGAGTCTTCCTCTGATCTTTATGCCACATTCTTTTTCATAGAATTCAGCACTTTGAATAAATTGCTCAGCATGCAGGTTGAATGGATATGGAGAGAGAATACAACCCTGACACATTCCCTTCCTTAATTTAAATGATGTAGTGTTCCATGTTTTCCATGAACACAATTAAGAGCTCTGGGATTCTCATTGTTTTCCAGGTTACCCATAACTTGTTATGATCCACATAGCCAAATGCCTTTGCATAGTCAATATGGCACAAATAGACATTCTTCTGGTATTCTTTACTTTTATCCAGGATCCATATGACATCAGCAGTGATATCATTGGTGCTATTGTCTCTTTTAAATCCTGCTTGAACTTCTGGAAGTTCCATATCTATGTACTGTTCTAGCCATTTTAAAGTGATCTTCAGCAAATATTGCTTGCATGTGGTATTAATGATATTGCTCAGCAGTATCCACATTCTGTTGGATCACCTTTCTTGGGAATGAGAACAAATATGGACCTCTTCCAATCCATTGACCAGACAGCTATCCTCCATAGACAGCTTTCCTGGCATAGATTAGTGAGCATAGGGCCTTATCTGCTAATTGAAACAAGTCAGTTGGTATCCCACGGATTCCTAGGGCCTTATTTTTTACCAGTGCCTTCAGTATAGCTCCAGCTTCCTCCTTCATCACCATTGGCTCCTGCTTATATGGTACTTCCTGAAATTTTTCAGCATCAGTCAGGTTTTTTTGGTTCAGTGACTCTGTGCAATTACATCTTGCTTGGATCCACGATCAATACTCTTAACATCAGCAGTCAGGAAATCAAAGGACAAATTATGTTGGGAAAATCTGCTGTAATGGACCTCTGCATAGTGCTGAAGAGCAATGATGGCAGTCTAGATACAAAGATATGCCTAATCCAGGCCATGGTTTGACAATGACTAAGGATGACAGAAGAATAACAGATGCTTTTGAGTTGTTGTGCTAGAGAAAAGTCTTGAACATACTGTGGACTGCCAAGAAAACAAATAGGTGTGTCTTGGAGAGGGTGAAACCAAGTCTCTGCTGGGAGGCTAGGATTTTGAAGCTCAGCCTCACTTACTTAGGCCATGTGGCCTGGAGAGATCCATCCTTGGGGAAGGACATCATGCTTGGAAGGGTGGACAGACAATGCAGGAGAGGAAGACCCCTGATGAGATTTGGTACAGTAACTAGGGCAATGGGAGTTGGTGTGTCAGAATTAGTGAGAGAGGGAAGGTTTAGAGCTGCTGTACATAGGGTCACTGTACATCGCAGGCAGCTCAATACCACATAGCAACAATAACATACGATGACATGTTTGGAAGCAGGAGTGGCATCCACTTCCTAAACCACATGACTCCGGAAACTCTAGGAACTTTGAAAAATGTTGATAGTTGTAGAGGGGCTTCAGGCCTTTTGTTCATAGGGTCGCTATGAGTCATGCTTGACTCTAAGGCAATCAACAACAACAAGAAGAAGTTCAAATTGGGCAGCAGAAAATTAAAACAAATCCATGAGAACAAAAATAGAATATTAATTCTATTCTACCTGAACTTAAGAATTATCCTAAGAATAGATTTGAAGCATTGAACACTAATGATTGACCAGGTGGGTTGTGGGATGACGTCAAGATAGAAGAGAGCAAAAAATCACTACAAAGACAGAGGAAAAAGAAAAAACCAAACTGGATGACAGAAGAGTCTCTGAAAATTGTACTAGAGCACCAAGAAGCCAAAACAAAGGGGAAACATGTGGATGTAAAAGAGCTGGACAGATTTCAAAGGGCAACTTGAGAAAACAAAGCAAAGTATTATAACGAAATGTGCAGAGACCTAGAATTAGAGACTGTAAATGGAAGAACTCACTCGGCATGTCTCCAGCTAAGAGAGCTGAAAAACAAGTTCAAGCCTTGAGTTGCAATACTTAGTAATGTTATGGGCAAAATCTTAAATGACCCAGGAAGCATCAAAAGAAGATGGAGGAAATAACAGAATCATTGTACCAAGAAGAATTGGCCGATCCTGAACTATTTCAGGAAACATCATCTGATCAAGAGTCAGTGGTAATGAAGGATGAAGCTCAAGCTGCACTAAAGGCCTTGGCAAAAAAAAATAAGGCCCTAGAAATCTATGAGATACCAATTGTCATGTTTCAAATAACAGTTGCAGCCCTAGAAGAGGCCATGGCACCAGAGATATCATTGCTGATAGCAGATGGATCCTGGCTGAAAGCAATGCATATTAGAAGAAAGTCTATTTGTGCTTTATTGACTGTGTAAAGGCATTTGACTATGTGGATCATAACAAATTATGGCTAACATTGAGAATGAGAATCCCAGCACACTTAATTATTCTCATGTGAAACCTAAACCTAGACCAGGAGACTATGGGCCAACAGAGCAAGGGAACACTACATGGTTTAAAATTAAGAAAGGTGTGTGGCAGGCTTGTTTTCTTTCTTCATACCTATTCAGTCTGTCTATTAAGTAAATTATTCGAGAGCGTGGACTCTATGAAGAAGAATATGACATCACGATTGGAGGAAGACTTATCAGTAACCTTCATTATACAGGTGACACAACTTTGCTTGCTGAAAGTGAGGACTTCAAGTGCTTGCTACGCAAGATCAAACACTGCGACCTTCAATATGGATTGTATCTCACTGTCAAGAAAACAAAAATTCTTACCACTGGAGCTATAGGCAACATCATGATATTGCTGTTGTTGATTGCTTTCGAGTCGAACATGATTCATAGCAACCCTATGAACAAAAGGCCTGAAGCCCTTCTACAACTATCAACATTTATCAGAGTTCATAGAGTTTCCGGAGTCATGTGGTTTAGAAAGTGGATTCCTCTCCTGCTTCCAAACCTGTCATAGTATTTTATAGTCATTATGTGCCATTGAGTCACTTGTGACGTGTAGTGACCCCATGTCCAGCAGCTCTGAACCTTCCCTTACCTGAGCAAGTCTCACTAATTCTTGCGCACTAACCCCCATCGCCCCAGTTACTATGTTAATCCATCTCATCTGTAGTCTTCCTCTCCTGCACTGTCCATCCACTCTTCCAAACATGATAGATGAGAAAAGACTGGTAAGCTGGAAATTGTAAAAAATGAAATGGAATGCATGAACACTGACAGGCTAGGCATTAGTGAGATGAAATGGACTAGCTTTGGCCGCTTTGAATCAGAAATACACATGGTCTACTATGCTGGGAATGAAAAACAGAAGAAGAATGGTGTTGCATTCATAGCAAAAAAGTCAATTTCCAGTTCCATTCTTAAATACAATTTTGTGAGTGATAGCATAATATCCATACGCATACAAGGAAAACCCATTAACATGATTATTATTCAAGTATACGCTCATACATCTAGAGTCAAAGAGGAAGAAACTGAGAATTTTTACCAAATCTTGCGGTCCGAAATTGATCATACATGCATTCAAGATGAGAAAAGTAGAATGTAAGCAAAAGAGAGTAAGACCCTCAACAAGATGATTGAGATAGTGACTACAGCAGCCGGCTTGAGCGTGACGAGGACGTGACAGTGGCGCACAACGGGGCAAGATCTGTAGTTCAGTGGCACCTCACAGCAACAGCATGAAATAGAGACAGAGTCAGTTGTTAGCCTCTCGGTTTCTCATTTATGTATGTGGATGGAATGGATGCCAGTTTTTAATTTCTTTTTCTTTTTGCAAAGGGAACTCCGAGGAAGATTGAATTTTGTGAAAAACTTGCTTAACCCTCATTGCATTGCATGTTAGGGTGCCCTTGAGATATTTAAAGGGATTTCAAGAGGGAAATTGGAATGTTAATAGATCTGGGCTGGAGATTCAATTTCTAAATTAATACATAAGCTCCTGCAGATGAGTCAGAGAGTGGAAGGAAGGTAAACTCCAGGAATTTGGACCACAGAAACCATAAGAAGACAAAGAGTGGTGTACAGTGAAGGACAGTTCTGATAACAGAGGTCACCTGAGAGTTTTTAAAAGGTCTGCTGAATTTAGTGACTGTGTGAAGAGCAGTGGAGCTCAGAGTCATATTAGAATAGAGTATGGAATGTGTCGCTGCTGTTGTTATGTGCCATCGAGACAAGTACGACTCAGCAACCCTGTGAAAAACTGATTTGAATCCTTACCTACCCATGCCATCCTCACAGTCACACTCGCAAGCCCATTGCCGCAGTCACCGTGTCAACCTGTTTGAGCATCTTCCTCTCCTTCCCTGTCCCTTCACCTTCCCAACCATGATGCTCCTCTCTAAGAAATAACCTCTTCCAGCAAAATGCCTGGTGTATGTGAGATAAAGCTTCATCATCTTTGCCTTCAAGGAACAGTCTGTTTGCACCTGGAGTGAGTTAGAGGTACAGAAATGGACACAGGAGTATAGACAACTCTTTTGTGGTGTCTAGCTCTGAAGGGGAGTAAGTTGGACAATGAAGACTTGCTTTGGGAAAAGCAGAAGCATGAAATGGGAAAACCTGGAGGACACTGATGAAATGGCACTTGATTCAGCCTGTTGTGCTGTGTCCAGCAAAGCTTGGAAGAGACTTAGTATTTTACATTAGTATTTACATTACATTATATCTGGTACTTCACTTAACCAGCTTTTCCTATAAGCAGCAGTGGCTACAATTATCCCCAAGCAATCATCAAAATATCTGCACGAAATTTATCAGTGTGTTTGTTTTTCCTGTTTTCAGGCATCTTTTTTAGAATTCCTCTTGGAAGTAGCCACACCTCCCTGACCATCACCACCCTGCCCAAGTACTAGCATATACCCACTGTGGTTACCTATAGAGCTCTTACCACTCACTTGGACTACAGCACCTATTGCATCTTGATACTTTGAGCCATGTTTTTTTTCTTAAAAAAACACAATGTTTTTAAGACTCATTTTTTTATTTTACCGGGCCCACTTTTGTGCCGTTTATGTAAAGAAAAGCTAGCTTCCCTGGATTAGAGTGAATGTGAAATGACCTGGGCCTTAATCACAGTTCTCTTGCTCTCTGTGCTGCACAAGTGCCTGGGGAGGTTTTGTTTTTCTCCCAAGGCCTTTACTTTTTCCAAAGGTTTAGAAAAATCACGAGAAATTACACTTGTTTTATACAAAAGCAATTCACAGTAAAGAGGTTTGGATGCCTATTAACACCTGGGACGTCTCCCTTCCACCTGACTACAATCGGAGCCTGCAGGCCTCATTCAGACCCCTCTTCATCCCTGACCTCAGCGTGCAGAGACCAGGGCAATCTGAGCTTTTTGTTCTGCGTTTCAAAGCCAGAGCGAGTACTCCAGTGCCGGCTGCTGTGCGTTCATATGGCACCAACACGATGTTGTCTGGGGAGCTGCCAGGGCTGTCCCCTGAGCCACATGTTTCCAGCGAGTCCCCAGGCACTGCTGTTGTTGCTAGACAGCCGCAGGCTTAGCAATGCTGGTGTGCTGGCCCTTCCCCCCATTTCTCAGAAGGCTTCAATTTTACTGAAGTGTAATTTTGTACCCTAGGTGAAAGACTCTATCCCTAAGTGTTTCTGATTGCCTCTTTTATTTTTTTTGAGAGGCCCGGATCTTTCTAAAAGCAACTTAATAGTGGTATTTATTTTAATACTGTGAAGGAGAAGTCCTTCCATTGCTGAATTGTTTAAAATTCTAAAGCATGTCATAGCAGTGAATGAATGAGTGTGGGGCCAAGGGTATGTTAAGTTGCTACTGACTGTCTCAAGGCTCTCGGTCTACCTTGTATCATTCTTTGTCTTTTGTTTTGCTTTTCTGAAAGATAACTCTTACACATTGCAGAAAATGTGTAGACGAAAACCAAAACTACTTATAAATTTACCTCTCAGAAATTTAATCATTTCTAAGTCATTTCAATAGAATTACCTTTTATTTCTGAGACGGGAATATTTTTTCATTTTTAACTTAAATACTCTAACATACTCTTTTCCTCTGTGTCATTAAAAAAAATCACAGTTTTGCATAAACTAATATTTGTGTGGACCATGATCTGCTGTGTTCCGTTGCAGTGGGAAGAGGAGAGGAATTTTGGTGCATCCCTGTTACTCCCAGGCCTCAAACAAGAGAACTCAGTGGGTGTCAGTTCCCAGTTGTATGCCTATGCACTTCTTGGTAAGCTCTGTGAACCTTACAAACACTTCTATCAACAGACTTGATACAATCTTTTGCTTTATAATAAAAGTCATTCTGATTTTGAGAGTTCTGGTGACCTAGTGAATGAAGAGTTGCCCTACCAACCCAAAGGCAGGTGGTTCAAATCCTCCAGCCACTCTGCAGGAGAAAAATGGGCAATCTCTTTCTAGGTGATTTATATCCTTAGAAAACTGCTGGAGGCTCAGCTTTGAGTTGGGTCCAACTCAACAGCAAAGAGTTGAGTTTGTTGAGTGAAATTACACTGCAGTGTTCATTGTTTGACATAAAAATAGACCTGGATGACCATACAGTGAAGAAGTTTATTAAATACAAACCAAGGGAGCTCTGCTGGTCTAGTGGCAAGAAGCTGTGCTGCAATCCTGAAGGCACACAGTTCGAGGCCAGCAGCTGCTCCAAGGAAGAAGGATGGGCAGTCTCCTCCTGTGCGATTAACTGCCTCTGGAAACCCGCTGGAGGGTCAGCTATGAATCGGCTCCAGCTCTACGGTACACAACAACAACAACATCTTACAGTGCTTTTTCATTCTCTGACTTAAGTGTATATGCATCTTCAGAAGCACCGGCTCTTAACCACACACTATAGATGCTTGCCTTTGTTTCCTTAAGTCTTCCGTTATTGCAGGCCAATAAGCTTTTGAAGTTATCTTTACCAACAAAGTGTAAGATGACATTCTTGAATGCTGATGCTGAGACAAAAAGTGATTCCGAGAGAATTTCAGAATTTATCAGGGTAGTTACTTTTTTAAAACTTTCTGTTGTGATTTGAAAGTTTACAGAGCACCTTGATTTTGTGACACTGATTACAATCCCCACATTGTAACCCTGCTGTTCCCATTTCTCCCTGTGTTTCCTGTTTCCATTACATCTTTTTCCTATCCCTTCCTGGCTTCTGAGCTTTATCCTTGGGCAGGTCGCCTTTTAATCTTATATGGTTTATCATTCTAAGGAATTTGTTGCTCCCTGGTGTTTTTGATCACCGTATAGGCCTATCTCTGGCTGAAAGTTGAGTCAAGGGAGTGATTTCCATTCCAGGCTTAAAGGGTGAGTAAAGGCCATAGTCTTGAAGGTGCCACCAGTCTCTTACCAGCCCAGTAAGCTTCTCTTTTTTTATAATTTGGCATTGTGTTCCACATTTTTCTCCTACTCTGTTGTTGTTGGGTGCCATCAATTCAATTATGACTCATCACTATGATATTGTTCACACTGTGAACAAGTTGAAACCTTGCATCACCCTGTGCTACTCTGCCTTCTGTGGTGATCCTTTGAGAGTAGTCAGCAGTGGTAACTAACCACCGTCTAGTTCTTCTGTCCCCAGGGTGTGGAGATGAAGCTCACATGGTCCCTTAGTCCCCTGGACTAAGTCTTTGATTTTCTTTGCCCTGTACAGGGAGAGACCAATATTTGTACCTTAGTTGACCACTCTTTTTAAAAATAATTTTTCCTTTTAGTTGCTCTTTACCGCTGAGTCTGATTTGGTAACCTAATGGGTTAAGGAATGATGCTGCTGACCCTGAGGCAGACAGTTCAAATCCACAGGAGAAAAATGGGCCCTCTCTACCCATGCACATTACAGCCTCTGAGTCAACATAAGTCAGTTCTAACTCAAGGACAATGAGCCGTTGTTCAGATTACCATTCAAGACTATGATGTTGTGTGCAGTGTTCGTGAAGCTGTCAGGGCTTGGGATATGTGCTTTGTTCTTGTTGTTTATAGCAGAAGGCCTGATCCTCTGCTCCTAGTTCTGACAACCGCCAGATCAAAAGGTCTTTGCTCTCGTTCTGTCATGTGCCGCGCAGCCTCACTCAGCGCTGATGGCAGCAGCTGCCCAGGATGTGACTGTGTTCCAGCCCCAAGCACCTTAAAAGTCTAAAATTAGCAGTCACCTGATAAGCTTTGTCTGTTGTGCTTCAGTAGCTTCGCAAATCCTCCTTCCCAGGAAAGATAAGTAAAGGTAGATTTAAAAGCTGGCACTCAAGGTGACTGCCTTAGTCATTAGTGTAGAAACAATGTGCCCAGAGCCCCCAGGTGTCCACATCTTGGGCTCCTGCTGTGGTAGTTTGAAGTACTGGAGAGAAATGCTTATCTCCTAATGTCAAATAAGATAATAAGAACTTTATGAGACCTGATGAATTACAAATAAAAGGGAAAAAAAGAAAAATTATTTGGTTTGGTTTGGTTTTTCATAAGGACTAGGTGTTTTGAATCCTTTTTTAAAATATTAATCATTTTCCTGGCAAGGGAAATTGTTCATACTGACCAGATTTTCACTGGAAAAAAGTTGTGAAATTTCTTCTTATGTGATTTTATTCTTGACACAAAAATAGTGTTTCAGTTGTTAGAGATTTTTTTAAGGATATTCCTAAAGCCAGCTTTATCATCTTCTCTAAATTGTCCTCAATCTTAGGATTCCCACATCCTTATTGGTAATCTCTAGCTGAAATGAGAAAGAAGAAAAATATACAATATTGTATTTTAAAAAATAGGTGGTTAATTTTACTACATTCTCCATTGCCCATCTGAAATTTCCACATGCTCCTGGGTAAATAAATGTTTGAAAATCCTGGGTAGATGAGGCTCTTGGTACAGATTTGGAATTATTCTATTCTGTTTTTAGAACTGCCAGGCACATTCAAGTCTTCAGTCTCAAACATACAGACATGACCTGGTTGAACATTCTCCATTTTTGTTTTTGGCCACAGGAAAGGTAGAATTACGTCAAGGACTGCGGGCTGTATACCACAACATGCCTCTGATGTGGAAACCAGGGTATCTCAGTAGAGCCCTTCAAGTGATGGAAAAAGTAACTTCCTCCCCAGAAGATATAAAGCTCTGTAAAGAAGCGGTATGTTCTGGAGTTCTAATTCATTGGAATTTCACTATCTCTTTTTCTTCCTAAGTTGAGCTTTGATTTTGTTTCCACTCCCCTACCTCCTATAGTAAGAGTCATTTTCCCTCCCCTACTTCATAGAAAGAGAGCTCTGATGACCTAGTAGTAAGTAAGGAGTTGTGCTGCCAGCCTAAGGGCAAATGGTTCAAATCCACCAGCTGCTCCAAAAAGACAAATTATGTGATTTGCTCATCCTAAAAGATGAGCAATCCCTTCCTGTGCAATTTACAGCCTCCAAAAACATGTAGAAAGGTAGCTATGAGTCGATTCCAAATTGACAGCAATAGTAACACCACTACTTTCTATATAAATGTTCAATACTGCAGACAAAAAGCCATAGAAAATGAGATTTGTATTGATTTTATAGTTCATTGTCTACAAGGGACTACTAGTCTCCCACCCTGAAATCCAGATGGAGATCAACAAAATACTGCCCGTTCCACTGTCTTCCGTCACCCAGAAAAAAAATTCTCAAGGGGGGAGCTAAGGAGAGGGGAAGATTTTTTATTAAATACATTTTGACATTCCTGTACTGACTATTCCCTGAAAAACCTCAAGAAATGAATCTGAGACTGGAGATGGCGCAAACTTATTTTCTTTCCATGAAACCATTTTTGTGCTAACAAGACCTGGCTCTGATGCTTCTTTCAGAGTTCTAAGCTGTTTAGTTGGCATGGCCTAAGGAAACGTCCTTCCACCAGCCTCAGTGCTCATACATCTCTTAGAGAAGTTTCCAGACTTTGCTCTGGGTATAGGGAACATGTTACCTTACAGCGCCATAAGCAAGCCTGCCACCCCACACGGAGCCATAGTGTTGACCCTTTCCTGGCTGCTTTTGTAGCCAGAGTGAGGTCTAGGAAGACATTGCTTGCTTTGTTACTAGGGTGTAAAGATTCCACTTGAGCGGCTTATTTGTTCTGTCTTCACCCTGATCACAGCAAGGTAATCATCACTGGAGCGTCTGGGCTTTCATTTCCATCATGAAATGCACCTAAGGCTGATCCCTGTACTGTGTCTTATGAATTGTTGTATTCTTTGCAGATACACATTTCTAAATGTAAATTCATGTTTTAACTTTGTTATAGTCAGTGCTAGTGGTTGAAAACCCAAAACACCTACTCCTGACATTCTACTTTTAGGACAATAGGGAAAGAAATCTGACTCACTATTTAGCATATTATGACATAAACCCCTGACTGCTGGTCCCTGCTGGCCTGGGCATGAGCCCCAGTGGTTCATCAGTTATGTGATGATCTAATAGATCAGTTGTGTAATGACATGATTTGGCAATTATGTAACCATCATGTTTTGTGATATAAGGTGGTGAGCATCCATTTTTACATAAGGCCAGTTTTCATGTAACAGCCTAACCTTTGGAACCAAACCATGTTCATAAGTGAGGAGTATATATTCTTTGCTAGGAAAATAGCCCTTCCCTTCTGAGTCAGATTCGTATACTGTTTTCTGACTTAATAGAAATGTGATTCAGATGTCAATAAGAACTGGTTATATCAGCTGTGATAGGGCATAATGTACTGATGGTACATTGGTATTGAAGACCTTGGAACAGTTTCTGGATTTTTGTTCTTGAACAGCATAGACATAATTATTGGTATCCAAGCAGGTGCTTATGCAGGCATTAGTGTGGTCTCTATTCCATCTCTGCTGATTAGTCTCTTCTTGGGTCAAGGGTAGTGCACTCCAAAGTGAATGTGGTTGAGAGAGTGGCAGAGCAAGAATAAACTCTCTGTTTTATAATTTTCTTAATCTCTAAGGCACAGAAACCACCTCATTAAAATTAATTTCCAGTATTCATCTCTGTTCTTTGCTAGTAGCTTTATATGGATTATACGGGTACCCTGCAACAAAAATCTAGGAGGGGAGCAGCTCTCGCCTAGATTTAGATGCTTAATTATGCATTCAGAATGACTCTTTGTTGGTGGTGGTCTGTGGTGGTCTTTCCCCTTGTCCCAGTTCCAGGCTGATTATGGCAGAGAGACAGAAGGTAGAGGTCTTTTAGTATTTTGATAGATAACAAGCATAATTCTTGTATTTCAACCTCATTTAAAAGTAAAATAAAATGCCTTTGTGCTAATTCACTTTACATAAATAATTCTGAGTTTGCTTCTTTCTGCTGTTTTGTGTTTGCCTTCCACCTTATAGGGTATTTCTACAGTGAGGTGTATCGAGACAATGAGGCTGGCTCAGGATAGAGTAGGGTTTGGAGCTGTCGTACATAGGGTCACAAGTGACTCGATGGCATTTAACAACCGTGAAATAATACCATCATTTCTGTTTTCTACAATTTTACAAGTGAAATCTTAGTTTCTTTAGATCCTCCCCACACACACTTTCTGTGCTTTCAAGGCCACACGTTGATCAGCCTCTGACCCCCCTTTTTGCCCTGCAGCTCAACACACTGGATGTAGTGCTGAAGACTCTGACTTCTCCAGCCAGCGAGTCTTCAGAAGAACAGCCCCAGGAAGGTGAAGACCAACAGAGAGCAGAAGACGTACTAGAATTTTTAGATACAGAGGAAACAGAAGAGTCCAAGCTTCCCCAGTACCTGGAACAGTTTGAGGTGAGTCCCGTCGGAGCAGAATGGCTATTAGCTCATCTGTGCACTCAGCATGCTTCTCTGCGGTGGGAGAGCCAAGCCGGCCTCTCACGCATCCCTGTCACACACAGAGGCATTGGAAAGCGACATCAAAAATTAGATTTTTTTTTTATTATTGCTTCACACAGGGAGTGGTTTTTTAAGAAACAAATGGGATTTTTATGGCCCTTTTTGTGCTTGAGCTAATCGGTCACAGTTTTGTTTGAAGGCATCATGTCATTACTCAGTCTTCCCTGATGTATGTCTGGTGATTGAAGGCCCGATGGGCGGGTAATAGCTTGTCTCCTCACAGCAACCGGCTGACTCCAGCCCAGGTTGCAGATTATCATTTCTCCATATTGGCTCCTGGATAACCCAGAATCCCACGGAGGGGTTAGGGCTGCTTATCAGTAAGATAGAGATAAGATACAGACATCTTTTGCCCTCATCCTGGCCAGCATTGTGTGTTCACTGGACCATTCATTAGAAATACTCTCTTGTATGTGATGAAAGGTGAAAACAGGTTTGCACTATTTCTTCCAGAACAGCCTTGAGCACTCAGGGGCCTTCAGTAGTGTTCATGCTCACATTCCAAAACACCTCGTGATCAGCTCTCTGAAGGAAGAGCCGCGTTCCAAACTTAGGCTTTTGCCTTCTTTCTTATTTCATTTCTGGCCTCTGCAGTGCGAAGAGCAAGAAGTGCTGCCCTTACTACCTTTGAATGCAGCAGGAAACCTCCCAGCTCTTGCCAGACAACCTGGTGTCGTTCTGACATGGAGAGATGTAAACTTTACTAGGTTATTATGTTCCCGTATTTTCAGTAATTGTGGCGAATTAGCTATGGGAGGCCTATTTCCTTATTTTACAAATAGGCTTCTATTGTGTTTTTAGCAGCTGTTTCTCCCAGTACGTCTGTTGATATAATTTGAAACTCAGAGAAATTAAACAGTTTTTTTCCAAATTGACCAAAAATTGGCAATAGAGCTAGCCTTTTCCTTTGCCTGTAGATTCTGGAAGGGTTTAAAAATACATATATATTTAGCCACATTGATTATCGTGGACATTGACCAAGGCAACAGTAGTTGTGGCCTATTTCTCATGTTTCCTATATTCTCAGATAATAAAAATGTGTCCACATTAAATTCTCAGCTCTCGCTCTTCCACAAATGCGTTTTTATCAAAATCACAAAAAAGAGATGCATGTTTATTGAATACTACATATGTGTTAGACATCGTTGCTTTTCATTTATGTTCACAGAACCTCTGGGTGGCACCTGCTGCTCGTAGGGTATGACACAACACCAAGGGCTGAGAGAAGGCAAGAAATTGCTGCCACAGTGTTGAGTCCTTATACTGAAGCCCCAAGAAGTGTCCTTGGCCCCAGACCTCTTGGAGGGTGGTGTCAGAAAGAAGTCATTTTCCCCTTCCTTTTCTCCCAGTGGCCTAGTTGTTATGGAAATGGCATCATTTCTTTGGGGTCCATTTTTATAAGCGCTGGCTTCACAGGCGGTCTCTGGCCATTTCTTGAATCCATGGGCCCTGCACACCTTCCGCCCTCATTACTGGAGCAGGCCTCGTCACTTATGCCAATTAATTGCATTTGTTTGTGGAACATAGGCTGTGGGGTTTAAGCTACAGCTGAGGCCATAAATGTCTCTCTCTGATAATTTCCATCTTGAAGCACTTAAGTAGATGAATGTTTTTAATATTTTTACTTCTCCAGAAATACAGTAATCACCAAAGCAGGCTGCCATTTCAGATGGAGCTGTAAGCAGTCAGCATGTAAAGGCTGACCTGCCACGGCACACAGCAGGTGGATGCTTATAATAGTTCAGGCACTCATGGGGGCTGTTTAGCATACTATTAGGGAGAAATCCTTGATGTGATTTCCATCTGTTGAAAGAAACACTAGTAGGGCAAACAGTTCTTCTCTGTTATTCTGAAAGAAAATTGTATGGATGTGGGCTCCTGTTTGTCATATTGCTTTTGCCATTTGCTTTGCATCTTAGCCCTTTGTTCTTGGCATTTGCTGCTTGGCTTGGTGTAGGTCAGCATAGGTTTGTTGTCCTGTGCTGCCTTTCTGCCTTAAAACAAACAGCTATACAGGGAGGCACAGTGTATGAAGTGTCATTTACTGCCTGTGAATAAAGGAGAGCTGCCATGTGGTGCATCCTAGCAAAATTGTCAGGTTTAAGGGAAAAAAACAAACCCAAACCCCCACAGTGAAGCTGCATGTGTGTGGAGGAAAGGCCACCTGACAGATTCTAGACAAAGCACCTGTGCTGTGGACAACCTGCATGGACACTGTCCAAGTGGTTAACCTCTTCTCTCTTCCTCTCTCACCTGCTCTACTCCTTTTTCCTCTGATTCCCACCCCCCTTTATTTCCACAGGCTTTGTATTCTAAGCTACGGGCTCTGGGCAAAGTTGAGTCGGAAAGCCTTTTGACTCTGACCACCCAGCTTGTCAAGGAAAAGCTTCCCGGCTGCGAAGCAGAGGACATCGCCACCTACGAGCAGAAACTGCAGCAGTGGCACCAGGAACGACTGCAGCTGATTCAAAGGGAGCAGGAGCAGAGGGAGAAAGCGAAGAAGGCGTATCAGGCTCAGACAGCAGCAAAGGCATCTGCCTAGCCCGCGGGCCCCAGCCTGCCAAGCAAGACCTTCACTGGGCCCCTTCAGATGGTGTTGAGGTGACCGTGGTGGCAGCCTCAGCTCCTTCTATCTGCCCTCAGCTTTTCTTAACATGGGCGGTGTGAGGTGTCTAAGCCCAGGCGCTGCAGAGCTCTGATAGAACACACCTGGGAGGGGCAAGGGTGGGACTTGCAAGTCAGGAGCAGTACGGGGCTTGCCAGGTCCAGCCATCATTTTGTATAGTGTATTCAAGGGCTTCACATTACACTTGAGACTGTATCTTTTAGAGCTCTTCAGACCTTGTCATTCAGGATTCTGTCTGATTGCCCATCCACATGCCAAGAAAGACTGAACTGTGATTGTGGCAAGTGGTCAGATCATCAGCTACCTTAGAAGGGCCCTGGAAGCTTATGCTAGAGTTCCTGGGGGATAGGGATCAATTCTGAACGTTGAAAATTCCTGATGGTGGAAGATGTTACGTGACTGAAGGGTGAGCTACCAAGTGAAGCCTTTCAGGTTCTTCTCTCTCTCTCTCCAGCCCGTGCAGATTGGGCCAAGAAGACTTAAACCCCAGTCTGCTTTCCAGTGAGCTGGTTGTGGAGTGCTCACACATTCCCCCTTTGTCATTATCCATCATGCTTCGCTTCCAATGCAGAGCCTGGGCTGCACAGCGGAATCCCATAGAGGGAAAACATAAGCCATGAAATAGCTAGATTTCAAATTCACAAACCCAAAGTGGTATCTTCAGAATGTAAGACTTTGAGGAGAAAGCTAGCCTTAGCTGGAAAGCCTCTTAACTTGGCTTCTCCGAGATGCTGGGGTGATGTTTTGTCTTTTTCTGAAAGCATTGTCTCAGCTATTTTATCAAACATAGGAAAATCAGCCTGCTATACACACATACACACAACCCACAACTTGTGAATACACATTTCTGCTTAGACGTTGGAGAGGATGAAAACCAAGATGGGGTGTGAAATGGAGACATGAATAATTGTAGCACTGTCAGACAGTAAACCCTTTCTGACATTTCTCCTCAGTAAACGCGGTGGAGGGACAGCTTTTGCTTGCTATGTAATTTTGCCTTTCAGTGAAATGGTGTATTTTTATTCACAGTTATGCTCTTTCAGCAAGAACCTGTGGAAATAAATGCTATAAGAAAGAATATTTGAGTGTTTCTTTTGGGGGGAGGTGAGAGGTGGAAGTAGTAAGGGGTTTCACTATTTTATGAAGGCAGAAACAAGCTCAGAACTCATCTGAGGCAGCTCCCATAGCTCCTCGCACTGCGGATTGCCACCATGGATGCTGCTTGTAGTTGTTTTCAGCTCAGTTCCATCTCAGGCTGGCCCTTGTGAGCAGAGAACTGCTTATAGACCTTTTGAAGCTTCTAGAAGCAGATTGCCATGCCTGTTTTCTAAAGCTCTGCTCTAGGTGGCTTCAAACCACAAACCTTTTAGCTGGCATTTGAAAGCTTAACCATTTGTACCACCCGGGGAGCCTGCTCTCATTTTGTAACTGCTGTCAATATCCAGCATCTAGGGCCCTTTAGACTGTTGTCGTGTGCAGTTGAATTGAGTATGACTTATAGCAGCCCTATGAACAGATCTGAACCCTGTCCTTAGTCCTTCCTTATCATCTCTGACACACTGGAGCCCATTGCTGCAGTCACTATGTCGATTCATCTTGTTGAAGGTCTTCCTCTCCTTTGCTGACTGTCCACCTTTCCAAGCATGATGTTTCTTTCCAAGGAAAAGCCCCTCCTAACAGCATACTTAAGTACTCAGGCTGCACTTTCTTCAAGACACATTTGTTTGCTCTTTTGGCAATCCATAGGATATTCAACACTCTTCTCCAACCCCACGACTCAAAGATTCTCCTCTGTTATCCTTATTCATTGTCCAGCTCTCAGATGCATAGCAAGTGATGTAGAAGACTATGTTCGGCCTGAATCAGGCACACCTTAATCCTTAGACTGGCATCACTGCTCCTCAGTCTTGTTCAGTCTTCCTGAGGTCATAGACAGAAGTTAATTGTGACATTATACTTTACTGAAAACCGCTGCATTAAACCTGTTGCTTTTGAGTCAATTCCGAGTGGTGGCAACCGCTTCTACACAGTTACAGAGTAGAACTGTGCTCTGCCCAACTCTTCTTAGCTGTACTCTTTAAGGAAGTGGATCACCAGACCTTTCCTCTGTAAATCTCCTGACTAGGTTAACCACTAAACCTTCAGATCAACCATTAGGTTAGTGGTTGAGCTCAAACAGTTTGCACCACCCAGGACCCCCTATTGCTGCATGCAGTATCTATTTAATCTGTAGCTTGTAATATCTTTCTTCCTTTTCATCTGTCTTTGTTGCACCTCCAATCCTCCCAAGAAAGGGGGCCTCTTCTGCCACTGTGCTTCATGCACGGAGGAATTTTCTGCTCTTATCCTTGGGATTACTTCCACACTTGTACCCTCACATGCTGCAGATTCCCCTTTGAGAACTCTTCCCATCCAAATATAATGTTCTCTCCCTATACTATATAGGAAACTGTGGTTGCTTAGTGGTATGAAGTTACATCATCAACCCAAAGGCACACAATTCTAATCCTTCAGCTGCTCCAGGAGAGAAAAACAGGCAATCTCCTGTGCCATTTCGAACCTCTGAAAGCCCACTGGAGGGTCAGCTGTGGGTAGGTTCTGATGGGCTGGCAGACAGCAACCCCAACCTGTGATCTACTGAGCTAGACAATCCCTGTCCCACTTCCTTGATCGGGAGAGCTGACCACAGGTGTCCTTCTGATACCACCCTCGGGCCTTTCTCTCTGTGGAGGACACTAGCCTCTCAAGCTGGTCTCAGCTGTAATAAAGGGTCTTTGCTCTGGCTGAGTTACTGTGGTCTCCAGCCTCATGCACAAGACACTAGACCTTGAAGTCTCCTTCTCCCAGTCTTGCCCTTCTGTCACACCATGGTTCCTGCTGAGCCGGTGTCTCTATCTCTGAGCCTGCAAACGTTCATCCTTGTCTCACTGCTCCAGACCCTGAACTGCAGGACTCTGGAGGTGCCTCCCCCGGACACACGTCCATGCCCGCCCATCCCGCCACTGCTCTCGGAAGTGATTTTCATTTCCTCTCGCTCACTTCATCCAAACCTGTGCGCCGTCCTTACACCCAGCAACACCACTAGTTTCTTTGTTTGCTTCTGACATTTTATATATTGCTTTCACAAAAACATATGCAAGGCTCATAAATTCATCTATAAAAATTTGTAGCTATTTTCATTTCCATATTCTTTCATGGACTATTACCGGTTTTGCCCAGCAGCTTTTTTACTCTATGTTCTAGATTCATACCCTCAGAACAATCAGCAAAATATCAGTGTCTCTACTTCATACTTCAGCAAGAAATCTTGGCCGTATGATACATCTCAATCTCCATCCTTTTGGGGTGGGGAGAGGGAAAACCATGCCTAGTTTTTACTTTTATTTCAAATTTTTAAAACTGCAAATACCTTGAAGAGTGAAAAGAATATAAAATTTTCCATTTGTATTTTGTAAGTCACACTTTTTCTGGCTTTTTTAAAAAATTAATTTTAATGAAAGTTTACAAAGATTTAGGATCTCCATTCATTCATTGTTGTACATTTCTCCCTGCCCATCTCTCCCCCAATTCACTCCTCTCTTTGAAAAGTAAATGAAAAATTCTTTCATTGTTATACAATCCCTCCCCCCGGGTCCACTCCACTATGCAGCCTTCGTTCTGGACTGCTGTCATGACAATAATACCTAATCACATATCCCTTTTAAACAGTTCTCTCATCTCCATCCTTTGTAACTCGACAGTTTTCTGTCCTTCCCACACCTCCTTCATTTCCTTACTTCCAAGTGGCAGATATTCCTTCCTTCCCAGCACCGAACTCATCATTGGTGACCTTGATCCCATCATACCTGTTTGTCTTGTTGTGGACTGTGTCTCTCTTGTCTTGCATGATCTCTACGATTTCTCCTTCCAAGTTCACTGGCTAACTTAAGACTTTGTTCCCTTTTCAAAGCAGTAAGCCTTTAATAATAATAATGATAATAATAATAAAGTTTTCTTGTGTTTAAGGAAGGTCTGGTGGCCTAGTGGTAAAAAACTGTGCTACCAAATCAAAGGCACACGGTTTGAATCCATCAGTGTTTGCGAGAAAGATGGGCAATCTCCTACAAGATTTACTGCCTCTAAAAACCCGCGGTGATTGTTATGTGCCATTTTGTCACCTGTGACTCATAGCAGTCCTTTATGTACAATAGCTCTGAACCCTGCCCTATCCTGAGCCAGTCTCATTGATACATCTAATTCCACTGCCCTAGTTGTCATATCAGTCCATCTCATCTGGGGTCTTCCTCTCCTGAGCTGTCCCTCCACCCTTCCAAAAATGAGTATGTGAGATGGAGTTTCAAAAGTCTGGCCTCCATGAAGAAATGCTCCAAATAACTGGCAATAAGAGAGATGCAAATCAAAATCACAATGAAGTACCATCTCACTCCAGTAACAGTGGCAAAGTTTAACAGGGCAGCAAGTAATAGATGTTGGAGAGGATATGGTGAGAAAGGAACTCTTTATACATTATTGACGGGATTGTGAAACGGTGCAACCATTCTGGAAGGCAGTTTGGCGCTTTCTCAAAAAGCTGAACATAGAAATTCCATATGACCCAGCTATTCCACCATTTGGAATATACCCTGAGAATATGAGAACTGAGGCACAAACTCAGATTTGTACACCAATGTTCATAGCAACATTATTCACCATTACAAGGACATGGAAATAGCCCAAATGCCCAACCACAAATGAATGGATTGAGAATTTGTGATACATTCATACAATGGAATACTATGCAGTATGTAGGAGAAATGACTTTGTGAATTACTAACTAACTTGGGAGGGACTGGAGAGCATTATGCTGAGTGAACTAACTCAGTCCCACAAGGATAAATATCGTATAAAACCATTATTGTAGAATGAGTACAAGGATC